TCTGCAAAGATTCCTCTCACGAAGAATCCGCTCATATTACGTACATTATTGCAGCTCTCCGATACAGTTTTTACGACTAACGTCTCGAATAGCCTTGTATCTACGTCTATGACATGTTCGTATTTGACATGCCATCGTCTATCAGTCGCATGCGATAAGAATGCGCTTGCAGATCGACTTGGTGACGCACAAATGGATCTTCTGACAATCCTGAGTCAGGATACATATGTATAACGCGCGGATTCATTGGCGTAAATGTCTCTCGTCTCGTGCCAGCTCAAATATATTCATAATGCTCCGGTAGGTTCGAGTTAATTGAACTATTAGTCGCCGCCTTCTCGCATCTCTCGTCCCATTGTCTTCGCTACTTCATATCAGCGTCGCCGATGTGGTCGGTTAGGACACGAAAAATACGATTTTATTTAAAGACCTATTATCTAGTCACGGAAGATTTTGTCAAAATTCTATGAGAGAGAAAGGTATAATTTTTCTCTGTATCATTCAAACTTACTTTGTCTCTATAATCTTAATTATTAAAAAAAAGTTAGAATGAAATAGTACAAATTAGAGTGAGACAGTATATACAGGGTGTCCCGAATTTAAATGGCCAAACTTTGGGAGCCTGTAGAGTGTAGAGAAGCGATTGATTATAAGGAAAAAAATCCTTTAGAAATATGCTCATTTTTACTTTATTTTGAAAATCACTAAGAAAGACAAAACGCATAATTTTTGGAATATTCGTATTTTCAAAGCGGAATATTATTTTCGTGTACGACTTCAGCGATAACACTTTATAAACAGTGTGAGAGTATACACGCCGATTTCCAGAAAGAAGAGTCGGCGCGTCACGTTGACCAGATCAGTTTGCAACCCTAGATGTCCGTATAAGATGCAATGTGTGCTGCAAGAGGCCAACATTTTGAACAATATCTGCATTAAGTAAGTGACAATGTGAATAAGTAAATATAGATAGTCTTAATTTTATCTACTGTTATTTATTATTATAAATAAATAAATAATAAATAAGTACAAAAATTGGAAATTATACGTTTTGTCTTTTTTTATGATTTTCTTCAAAATGAAATATATCTCTAAAAGAGACTATTTTCTTAATTTATCGATTCCTTAAACTTTCTCAAAGTTTGGCTATTTGATATAAGAACTCTAGTTTTAAAGTGTCTAAAAATTTAGCTGGATACAGATCTAAAATAATTTTGTTGAGCCATCAAAATAATTATGTAGGACGCTCAAACTGGTTGCTAGAATACCAAAACTTTTTGCAGCATTATTCATCATGCTTGAGATTACATAATTACTTTGATAGTTCAACAAAATTATTTTCAGATCTATATCTAGCTAAATTTTTAGATATTTTAGCAAAATCATTCTTTCCGTGTATAATTCCTATGTGATGATTCGCTTAGCGTCGACTGCGTTCTTGCTTCGATCCAAGTATTGCTTTAATTTTTGATCATTTTTGACGAAACTGAATTTGTTTAATTGATTTATATATTTTTGGCTTTGCAAATTTCATTTGCAATTCCGATTTTTAAGTATTGACTGTATCATTCATCTGGGGATCATCGAGTGTTATTAGACAAAGAAAAAGAAACACTCGACCGCTCGCTGCAAAGATTGGTCAGTTTTCCGATAAAAGTTCACACGCGGATGTTCGCGTTCGCGTGTGACACGCTTACTCGACCTATCGATTTACCATAAGGTCGTAAACATCCAGCTAACGTTAAAAGCAAGTTAGCGATTCTGTTAACCTCTCTGAATATATCTCACTGAGAAAAATGTCTGGTTAATGTCTTGGATTAATTAGAATTCTGATTGAAAATCGACAAATCAGTATTTTCTGGTTAAATCTACTAAAATTCCAGTTGTGATAACCGGAATTCTGATTGATGTAAGAAATGATGTCAGAAGCTTCTGATTCGTTCATTTTCAATCATTTTTTTCAGTATAAGAGATAAAGAGACCGCGAGACCTCGGATCTTTTTTCTATCGAATCAGTCAAAGACGCTGAAGAATGAATAAAATCTGAATAAATGAGAAACATTAATTGGCAATATTTTTCGTGACTATACAGAAATATACGTTTTTTTCTCGCAAAATTTCAAAAGGATCAAAGGCTAAGCGAGACCTTCACATTTCCACCTCGAACCGATCCGTCCGCCCACAGTATCGTAATTGATCCGTAAGCAGTGAACTCGCTTTAAAATCTCAAGTTTCATTTTAATCAATATGTAGTGTCGCGTGTTACACGCCGCTATGTAAGTTCTTTCGATTACTATCGCGCGCACCCGGTGGCTCTGGTCATCGCCTTTCGAATATCGTGACAGAGTACGTTTACCTTAGATTGGCTATATTTCGATAGAACTTACTCTGAGCCCCGATAAAAAACCTATTTATCTCGATGAGAAGCCGAGAACTTCCGTTTGCTTTTATCTCTCGTGATTTATCATTGACGAAGAAATAATGAATAGCGTTGTTGTCTTGACATCAATCGCTTTTCCCGGGGCTTCTTCTAACACTGATTATTATTGATTGATTTTTAATATTCTTTTTACTACTAAAAAATTACAATCTGGAATCATTTAAAAAAATTACAGTCGGAATTATTTATGATTGGAATGTAACGGGAAATTTCCGAAAGAATTTTTCGAGCACTAATTTCAGAAGAAATTAAGCTATCATAAATTTATTTTTATATATTAAGCTATCATTTCTATCTAATTCGTTTTTAACGATTATGGGCTTTTAAATAACCGCTCCCGGGCGTCATTTCAGTACTTTCAGAATTGAATTTAATTAGTCAATTAGTCCTTAATTAAGATTCAAGCGGAATTTGTGCTTACTGTTAATAAGGTACAATCGCAAACAATTTGAAACAAACGTAAAGTATTCAAATAAAATATCATCTCACGAGTTCAGAGACACAGAATTTCATTTTTCTTATAACAATATTTGAAATCAAAACGACTGACGTTAAACAGATTATTTTTTTTTTTTTAATCAAGTTCTAATTTCGAGAACAAGAATATAATTGTTATTCTGGCCGAAATCGAGTCGCTAGGTTTTTGCTAGCAACATAACATGTTTATGTACATTACAACAATTTACTGCATTTTTACTTTAACAAGATTGATTCATGAATGCAATAATGAACCATTTCTTTAGCAATATTTATTTTCTATTAAAGAAAAATTGCGAATCGTTCTTTTGAGCTATATTTAGTCTTCAAACATCGTCCATACGAAGACAATAAGCGACAATTTCTGTTTATTGAAATCACTCCGATTATTCTATTCTGTTTAGTGGTCTGTTTAACTCTCCGCCGACCATCTTGAACTTTGAAGACACAATCAATATTTTGATTGTGAATTCTGGAAGATAAAGTCTGATAGATAAATTTAAATCTATAATGAGTCAAATACAATCCGACTTTTATAACGGCAAAAATTCGTTAAAATTTTTATAGTCATGTAAGAATGTCATGAAGATATTAAAAAAAATTTTTATACAAACAATATAAAAATCTATTA